GTTTTGAGTCAGCTGCGCTGGCTGACTGTGCTTACAGCAACCGTGTGCGCTCCTTTTCTTTCCGCTTCGGCGGCCCGTTGGTGCAGCAAGCCACCCTTCGGGGCGCAGGCCACTGCACTGTAAAGCACACACACAAGGTACTCTGTTTCCTCGTTCAGGTGTACCTTTGAACTCGCCGCCACATGGGGTTTCCGCAAATAGGGGACCCTAATATAGTACCCTAAATAGTAGGATTCACATTGTGAGGACCCCGAAATAAGGTATACCCCTTATGTCCGGAAGCTCCCGCATCTCGGCATCTGATGCGCCAGTGCAACGTCCGGAAAAGCTCGAGGCTTCGGGGCAAGAACTTTACGGCGGCAGCCAGCAGCCTCAAGCGGTTTAGGGTTTAGGGTTTAGGGGTTCAGTGGTTAGGGTTTCCTCCAAGCCCGGAGAACAAAAATCTGCCATGCCTCCTCAAGGCCGACCCAGGTTTAGGGTTCAGGGTTTAGGGTTTAGGGAGTGCATACCGGCAGCCTACAGAACGCCACAACTAGCACAGGCTTGCAGCCCTCTAGAAGTTCTTATGTACAGGTGAAACACGGATTATCTAGTATATAGGGTTTGGAGAAGACCTATGAATGAAGGGAATCGGAAAGCACATGAAAGCACCCTACCGGGTCGAAGGCGCGGTCAGGTTTCAGTTTCCTTGAAGGGTTCTATGGGGTATAGCATTCTAGAGTCAAGGACTAACACTTATGGTATCCTTTGTTCCTGTTACCATGCTTTGATTTTTCTACAGACGCTGAACTTAATAATTGATTGATGTAGAGCTCTGGTTAATAACCCCCCTTACCTGAACAAGGGATGACCAATAGGAATCCTAGCATTTAAGGCCCTTGAAGAGAGTGGGGGTCTACTATATTAGTTTAGGGCTTGGGGTTTAACCTGAAGAAAAAAACTACATTGAAAGGCCCAAGGCAAACAACACGAGTCCTGGCTCCTGGGAACCACCCAACCCTAGTTTGGGGGCCATCACCACAAGGCTTCTATAATCTCAGCTTATGCGTCCACACTCCGAGGGAAACTAAAGGTTAAGCTTTGGGACTATGTGGGGATTATGATAATCCCAAAAAGGTTGAAGGTCACCTACTCTACTGCTAAGTCAGCGACTGAGCCCCCAAAAATATGAAAAGACCTTACCTTACGGGATCCTGAAGGGAGGGGGGGGGGCAAGGTTGACATGGACTTCGGGTTTATATAACCGACGGTTTAGGGTTTAGGGTTTAGGGTGCTCCCTAGTGAGGATAAGCGTTCCCTGGTACCCTGCCTCTTTGAACCACCCGCCCTTCCTACAGTAAACTGCAACCCCCTGGAAAAGGCGACCACAAAAGTGAAAAACACAAATCCGCATAACTTTGTAAGGACAGGTATATCAGGGATTCCCAACACCAAGCATGCCGAAACCAGAGCCCGTCTACTTCATAATGAAATTCGCTGCAGTCCGCCTCTTTGGAGCAGTAGACCCACCGGTCCTCAGAGAACTCTCCAAGGGCTCAGAGCTAGCTTCGGTGCAGGGCTGTAGAGTTCTTTCCTTAGAGTTTAGGGCTTTGGGGGTTTAGGGTTTAGGGGTTTAGGGTTTAGGGTTTAGGGGTTTAGGGCTTTGAGGGTTTAGGGTGTAGGGTTTAGGGCTTAGGGTTTAGTTGTGTTTGGGGATGTAGAGCGGCGTATGCAACTCAAGTACAGTAGCTTTAGGGTTTAAGGTTCAGGGGCAGTAGGTCTCGAGGCAAGGTAAGGTTTTTCCTGTGATGCGCTTTCCAAACAGTGTGATGCTCTTTCCACTAGGCAGGACTTCGGGTTCAGTGTTGGGGAAGCAACTACTGTTGATCTGCACAAAACTACTTGTCCAAGATCTTCGCAGCTGCACATTCGCGGGGGCATATTGGAAGGAAGTGGGCTTAAGCTTCTAACCACATGTGTCAGCCCCCCCCCCTCCAACCCACCCAATTGTGCTGAGAAGCAAACACTCGCGCCAACCCTCAAATCCGAAGGTCCGCTCTCCACTTGGCATTTAATCTGGGCTTTGATTGACGAACGTACTCATGGTCATGAATGCAAGCTCGCCGGCATTCGTTCTTTCTCTCTAGCCTGCACAGCCAGGGTATTGTCTCTAACTGAACATCCGGAGCTCCGAAAACAAAACTCCCTGGTACAGGGAGAGCAAAGAGAAAATCTCACGGGCCCACGATGTGGGCAGTTCTCCAAAGTAGAGTCCCTCCTCAGGTCCCCAATATTGTACGGTACCCACATAAAAAGGACCCTAAAGGGGACCCTAATTTAGAGAACTACCCATGTGGCTTTGCCACTGTGGACTTCCATGACAAGGGGGCTCCTCGGCTTGGTGCTGAGTCGAGTGTTTCAAGGCTGCTTCGTCTCTAAACGGGCCGGGGCTTTGGGGAAGTTTTGAGATGCTGATCTACGACGCAAAGCTTGGGGGTGAAACCCTAAACCCTATACCCTAAAACCCTAAGCCCCTGCAGTCCTAGATGCAGGTGTAGAGTGAGCGCTTAGGGTTCAGCGTGGGTAGTACAGGGGTGTGCTCTATGATTATGGTACAGCACAGCATATTTTATGATAGCGTATTGTCGTATACTATAGTATATAGCCTTCTAGATTATCTGATAGTCGAATTTATTACTATCAGAAGAATAGGAAAGAGCAAGCTCAAACAGCTTGCAAGGTCAGCCTTCGGCTGCACTACTCGGTGGTTGTCGCGCAGATGGCCCAGCAACGGAAACCCGACGTCTTTTGGGTTTAAGGGTATAGGGGCCTTAACAATAGTTAGAATAGGGTTTTGGCGCACATTATACTATAATTATAATAAGGAACCCCCAAAATGGAATCAATATCTATTGAATATGCATCTTTGTGGCTTAATGTAGGGGCCTTACTAATTCTGATTATTGAGGCCCTTATATTATTGTTTTGTCGGGGTCTAGAATCTAGAAGGGTTTACAGTTCGGGTCTCTCGGCTGTTGGACCTTCGCTAAGCCAGGGATTCAGCTGGAGCCTGGCCCAACCACCTCACCGGATAGCCAGGCCAAGTGTGGCGAGGACTGCGCCCAGGGCCAATTTTCCACCAAACGCAGAGCTGACCATCATTTGGTTCGATCCTGCCTCGGTTGCAGGCAACGGCACATTCGATGAAACCCACAAGCTGCGGATAATGAGACGAACAACCTTCACGACGACGATGACCAAAAGTCCCCTGCAGAACCGCAATCGACATGCCAACAGGAAGAACGGCATCAGAAGCCTGGCACTTTAAAGCAGCAAGCGCCGCGACACATCCGCAAGCGCCGCTGCTGCTGTTGCTGCTGCTGAGGTATTGCAGCTACTTCTACTGCGACTTCTACTAGGTCGATGACAGTGGCAGTAATGCCTCTTCCAGCTTCTTGCTCATCTGTATCTGCTGTGCCATGCAGTCTCTGTTTCTTCGGAACATCTGGTAATGCGAATTGGGACCCACGGCTCCTGGGTCTTGCTTCCAACAAAAGAGGTACTCCCTGAGATTGCAGAGTCTGGAACAACTTTAGGGTTTAGGGAAGCTTCAAGTGTGCAAAGCTGCTACCCGCTAGACCGGCGAAATCTGCGCTTATGCCTGTCGAACGATGCACGACCAAGCATGACAGCTGCACGCAGTCAGGCCCAAACCCTTCACTGGAGCACATTTAAGTTCACACAAACAGACAGTTCACACGTCGAGAAAGAAACAGAAGAAGCATCAGAGCAAACCGCAAGGCATTCAAAGAGAGTCTTCCAAGGTAATGTGGGGGCTTAAATAATTACCAACACTATTTTTTTGGGGGGGCTCCTTATTATAATTACAGTAAATGGGCCCCAAAACCCTATTCTAATTATTAAGATCCCGATACTACTCGACTCTATACCCCAAAGAGCCAAACCACAAACTCTAAAGCTCAGAGATATGTGGGGGTTTCCGAAAATAGGGGACCCTAATATAGTACCCTAAATAATAGGATCCCTATTATAAGGACCCCCAAATAAGGTACCCTAATTTTCGGAAACTCCCATGTGCCTAAACCACAACCCGATAGAGACCAAGTCCCAGGTCCCAAAACCGACCCTGAACCACAAACTGAGAAGATGCGGTTTAGGGTTTATAGGGTGTAGGGTTTAGGGTTTAGGGTTTAGGGTTTAGGGTTTAGGGTGCGAGCAAGTGGAAACGAAGCTCTTCTCACTATGCTAACTCAAAGTACCTTCCGCCACAAGAAACCAAGAATGAAGCTGGGGAGCAATCGTAGTCGTTTCGAAACGAATTTCCTGCCGAGAAAAAGTCTAAACCAGCCAAGGGTTTAGGGTTTATGGGGCTGCAGTAGGATTCAAGCCTATTGCAGTGTAGACCGCGCTCTTTATTCGAGTTTCTGCTGTGGTACAGGTTTTGAGATCTTCGCCAGCCTGCAGCGGAAAGGGCTGTCAAAACCTATAGTGCAGAGCATCCGAAAACCTACCCGCCTTTTTTGACCAGACTCGTTTGGAACCCTAAACCATGCACCCTTGGCGCCGTGGCGGCGATGACAAACCGGAAAAACACAGGTAAAGAATCCTAAACCCTAAACCCCTAAACCCTAAACCCTAACCCCTGATCGTGAACCTTTCGGGCTCCGAGTCTTTCGGCCGAGCCTTCAAACTACGAAGCTGTAGCTAGGGCTTTTAGGGTTTAGGGTTTAAGGCTTTTAGGGTTTAGGGTTTAGGGTTTCGGGTTTCGGGTTTGGGGTTTTTAGGGTTGAGGGTTTCATATCCGTGGCTCCAACAAGCTACTGGTACTGTTTCAGCCGCTCTATGCCGCAACGATGCCGCGATGACCCAGAGGCTCCAAAACCCTGAATTAAGGAATAGGAACGCTGATAAGAGGTAGATTCCTTAATCGAGGACAATTCCTTGAAATGTAAAAGGAATCCTAATACGATTTTAGGTGTATTCCTTAACTAAGGGGTATTGGAGTCTCTGGGTACGTTGTAGTTGCAGGATTCCAGGCCTCAGCTACATGTCCTCGGCTCTCAACAGGGTTTACTTGGAGGCCCAGGGACTTAGTAAGTCGGGTATAAGTGGCTTTATAATTGGCATAACTCCATTTAGGGTACTTATAACTCCACTTATAACCTACTTACTAAGTCCCCTGGGCCTCCAAGTAGGGTTTAGGGTACACCAAACCTTCAAACTGCCAAGCCGTGCAGTCAAAGGTAAACTCGGCCAGGTTCAAATCCCGGAACCCCGAAGCTTTGGCAGCAAAAGCGTAGAACGCCCAAACCCACAACTTCCATAGATCGTAACCAAAGTCCAGAAGAACCCTAAACCCTAGACCATACAATCAAACCACCTCTGCGTCGCTCGATGGCCGGATAGTCGCCGAGTTGGTGTCGTTCTCGCCACCACGAGCCAGGACGTCGAGAGTCATTCTGGCAGGGAAACAGATGTTAGGACCCTAAACCCTAAACCCTAAACCCTAAACCCTAAACCCAGTAAGAGGCCCTTAGGGCTTGGGGTTTAGGCGAACACGCACATGTTAGGACGACTGACCTTCGTTTCTAGGGTCTCCCAGTAGCCTCTTACTTATCAGCGTGCCCTTGCTCCTGACATGTGGTGTTACGAAGGAAACCCGACAAAGCACTTCCTTGGTTTACAGGTTTCTAGGAAAAGTTTGGTATTGTTTTTGATATTGAGCCAGGGGTTTTGGTTTTAGGGAATAAGGTTTACGGCAACCCCAATCGACCTACGTTTGTTTGGACACATACTAGGAAGACATACTAAGGAACCCTATAAAGGTAGGTGTCTTAGGGTGCAGGTATTGTTTGATGTCGAGGTAAAGGCTTTTGGGATAGAGGAGGCTCGTGATGTTCATGGTGTTCAGGGCTGCCAGGATTTGGGGTTTACAGAACGTTGAGTTTTTAATCGGCCGACATGTGTACACTACATGCTGCCTATTGCTGTGTCTTCAAGCACATGGTCCGGAGGGTTTGGATTTAAGAAGTTCCAATTCAGAACGGAAGGCTTCATGAGCCTGTGCTGTACTTCTGCAAGGCCCCACAATGCCCCACTGACTTGCAACCCCGCGCGGGCCTTTCAATGGTGAACTTCGCAGGGGCCTCTGCATCTTCAATGGGGAGCAGAATTGCGATATGCGAAATGGTCGAAGGTGCCTGGTTCCCCAAAATGATAGTTTTTAATCCTTATTAGGTTTTATTATAACAAAAAATGTAAAATTGTATCCAACAAGGAACCCAGGTGCAATGGTGAAGCATGCTGCTGTATCCACACAAGGGCGGATGCCGCGCATCACCAGCTCCTGCGAGGGAGGCCGGGAGCCTTTTTCGAGGTTCTGGGCCTTAGAAGGGTTTAGGATTTAGGGTTTGGGCTTCAGGGTTTAGGGTTTAGGGTTTAAGGTTTAGGTACTAAAAGGGCTTCAGAAGTTCAGAAGGGTACTTCTCGGGTATAAGGGTGCTGTGAGGATGAGTAGTGCAAGGGTTCCAGAAGGGTTTTTTCTCGAGGGCATTAGAGCTTATCGGGTGTAGATAGCGTTTAGGGGATTTCCTCTTGCTTGCAGGTTCGCGTCACATGTAGCCTGAACACAGCTACTCCCACTTTCAACAAGGGTAAGTTAGTAGGGGACTCATAATGATCATAATATGGGTTAATAGGAGGCTCTGAGCATCGCGCAACTCCAAGCGGGGAGTCTAGTTACACTTGGCAACTGAAGCAACTACAAGTAGGGGCTTGCATAGTGTGGCCCCACCTTGAAGCCACAATTTGAAAAGATAGCAACTTCTACTCTTACTCACTTACGAACCAAGTCCAGTGATCCTTTTGATCTTAGCTCAGACCTGCGCTGCTACTGCCGCCGTTCGTCCCTATCGGTGCTAGTGCTATCTCCCAGTAGACTGCGGTGCCATCTCCCAGCAAGTTTCATGCCCGCAAACTCCTCACCATGGAAGTCGCTCCATTTCAACCAGAGGTTGTGAGGGCCATCGCTGAGCACTCGAACCGCTGCAATAAAACGCGCATCTTGCCTGCGGAAGGATGTCTGTTATGAATATGCACCCTTTTCTGCCTTCTGTCGCAAATTACAACTACTGTACTGTTTCCAGGATCATCACCTAGTGTGCGCACGTCCGCCGTGACTGGACCCCAATCAAACCCTTAACTCCCAAATTGCATGATCACGGTGCCTTGTGTCGTTCAAGCGGACCTTGAAGTGGCGGACCTGTCTAGCAAGCTAGCGGAGGCTTCCACGGCACTAAAGGGTTACCTAAACCAAACCCCCAAAAAAAAGTAGGTAAAATACGGGCCCAACACATAATAAACGATTACGGGAGATTACTGAAGCCATTACCCTACACACTTTTGGAGTCCGGGTAGGGTCTAAGATTTGTAGAGCTGAGGGTCTAAAGGCTCGGTCATCAGTCTTGGGCTCCGGATCTACCACGATCTTGAGTCTCAGGTTTACCCATAGGCCCCATAGTAGTTCTTTTTTGGGGTTCATATTTAGAATCCTATAAAGTAATCCCAAAAAGGAACTACTATGGGGCCTATGGGTATATACTGACGACCTTCGAAATGGCACTTTAACACCCCTAGCCTCCAAAGCTCTAAACCCCAAATGCTAAACCCTAACCGTCAAAAAAGCTCTTTTGGGGCCAAGGGTTCTTCAATGCAGGCTCCTCGGAACCGCCCTTCTGAGGCAATATAGAGCTCTACAGCCGTAAGTTAGGGCTTGAGGAGTTCAGGGTTTAGGCTTTCGTGCTGCAAATAAGCCGAGAACCGAAGCCCCCAAACCCTGAAGATGCAATCCTTGCTAGAAAATCCTGCAACCACAGATGCAAAAAACTCCAGCCCTAAACCCTAAACCCCAAAACCCAAAACCCAAAACCCGAAACCCCAAACCCAAAACCCAAAACCCCAAACCCTGGCCCTAAGATTCTGGAACTGTCGGCCTTGGTGTTGGAGAAAGCGATCTCCAGGCCGTCATAACCCGAGAGGCCGTGGTCCATCGCGGCGGAAGGCAGCGTTCCTGAGGGTTGAGGGTTTAGGGTTTAGGGTTTAGGGTTTAGGGTTTAAAGTATAGGGGTTTCGTGTTTAGGGTTTAGGGTTTAGTTTCTGAGGGAGGATCGCAGGAAACAAGGCTATAAGTAGCTGGTTTGGGATTACAAAAATGCTGAAAGGTGTGTATATATACATATATGCACATATATATATATATATATATATATATATGTATACCTCCGCTTATGTGTGTGTGTGTGTGTATATGTATATGTATATATATATATATAGTGACTGATTGTGTTGATAACCCTAGTTTCTAAGTTCCGCGATTCTTCAAGTTCTTGAATGCTGAGAGTATAGTTCTTGGAGTTTGCGGTCTAGGATATAGAGACTTTTTCCTGTCGACTTTGAGAATTTCGGGTTTCGCATCGAGGGTGTAAGTCTTCAAGGGTTGCGTAAGTAGTGCTTTCGTCACTTAGAGCCGTGGGGTTCAAAGCAAGGGCGTGAGAGCGATGGGTAGATACGACCCAAAGTCTCCATTGTAGTTGCTCTTGTTGGTTTAACCCGCTTTATATTTAGAACCCTATAAGGTAACCCCGGAACGGAACTACAATGGAGACTATACTATAGGTATGGGTTTCGGGTTAAGGGTTTGATAGAAGACTCCGGTCTCACAAACCTGGCTACTTGTTGGATCAGGGGACTTGCAGAGTACGAATCTTGTCTGCAAGGCCGCGGCATCTGAGGATGTCGCGGAGATCGGAGAGGAAAGACAACGGCTATGAAGTTACAATTATCGCACGCGCAGCTGGCGAACCACGTGATTGCTCCATTGACTTTGCCATTCAAGAAAACCTTGAGCTTGGCCAGCAGTCTCGTGGCGTTTTACGTCACACTAACTTGCAGCGACCCAGGGTGAGTTGGGTGAGGTTCCGCTTGAGCATCGGTAAACAGTCGATCTTCAGACTGATGGTGCGACAGTGCACATTCTTCGTCGGGGAGCAAAAGCTCCAGCCATATGTCACCCTAGTCGAAATCCACAACTCGATCCTCCTAGAAAGCTATTACCAGCAGAATTGATACCTAGAATAGGGTAGCTGGGCTTCCCTGAGCATATACCGTAGAAGCTGTGCTACAGGCAACCTACAACCTCCAAGCCTAGAGCCACAACCCCAAAGCCTGTCTGAAGATCTGAACAATTGACAACAGTATCCTGTTTCTGAGTTTGTTTGCTATACTGTACGACATCCTAAACCCTAAACCCTAA